TTTTGTCAAAAAAGGTGACATTTTAACTTTTTGATACTCAAACAACCTGGCTGTCACCACTTTTTGATATTTCAACAAATGATATCAGTACTGCATTAAAGGAAGGAAATAATTTTATTCCTAGTAAAATAACATTTAAAAGTTAATATTCAGCAGTATTCCTTTGGAACACTCCCTTGTAAACATGAATATTCTGTTTGAAGAATTTGAAGGTGTGAAGAATTCCAAAGAAACTAGGTACATCAAAGATTGAGTCATTTTGAAACTCTAGATGAATTTTATTTTTTCAAACATTCAGAGTGAATAGAGAAATTATATTGCATTTACATTTCTGAATAATAATAAGTTGATGGATATAGCCGTTACTATGTGGTAGGAGAGCGTCATGAAAAATGGGAATTTGAACTTCCTGTTTTTTTTTATATTTGTTTGAAAATGTCCTTGTAGGACGAAACTGCAATAACATTAGTCACAAATACAAGTGGTATACAAACATAGAAAGTTTTAATTCTCATTTTTCATGATTTCTAAATAATGTGTAAGTTCCTCATCTGTATTTTCAAATTTTGTGAAAAGATGGATAATGAAAATATAACTAAAATTCTAGCATCAATCAGTTACGTGAATGTCCTTGATTTTTTACAAGAGGAAAGAATCAGAGTTATTTTGACTAGATAGGTCTATAATATCTAGAATAATAAAGTTGCATGTGGAATCTCCAGGCTCAAACCACCGCTGGAAGAGTTCCATGGTAAAGTTAAGTTTTACGAGATTCCTAGCTTTACCAGGGTAATTGGCTAAGTTGACGGTACCTGCATTTGAATCAATTCACCTGGCAAGGCATATGAGTTTTTGAGGTGTGAAATACAGTTTGGCTGGATTTGATAAAAGGTAATGATGCTGAATTTTATAGGAACTAAGCAAATTAGTTTTCTAATAATATACAAGTTACATACAATGCTAATATGAAAATAATGGACTTATTTGCACGGTGGCCAGAATCCTCTAATGATATAACCATTTTCCTCAACAGTGAAAAATTTGTAAAAAAATTTTTATTAGGTACGTTTTCCTCGACAGTATCCTTGATGCAGAAATTTTGAAAATTAAAACAACTAGATAGTATTTACAGTATTTTTGGAAGGAAATTTAAAAACATCAATGTCTACTATATGTTTTATCAGGTGGTAGAGGGCTCGGCTTCATGAATTATTGCTTGACTCCATTACCTCAATTAAATAATGAATATGAATGAAAATATAACAAGTTTTACAACTCTACTAGAAATATTGTTGAATATTTAATCGGCATTTTCACGAACTACCCGAAACCGATTTGATATTCACAAACTTTATTTCCAAAAATATCACATGTTTCGCTATCACAGTACCTAGCTTTTTCGTAGTGAATAACATTACTATGGGTCTTCATCAAATAAAGACAAGAGTCAATCAGAAAATTAATCGGCCTTTGGAAAAAATGATTTCTTTGTTTAGTGTGTGGTATAAAACTAAAACTAGAAAATACTTTGCCTAGCTAAGGAAATGAATGAACCTGAGCCATCTGCTTCTGAGAATATAAAAGAAGATGAATTCGATTATTTAATGGTAGAGAAAATGATGTTAATCTTATTTAAAATCAGTTTATGAATGATAATTTTGCAAATTTGTAGCATACGTTAATGCAGTTTTGATTTTTACAGTGCCCAACCATGGGCATGAATATTTTCCGAAAGAAAAGATTACGTGTACAATAAAGAGTTATTCAGTAATAAGCCTTTTTTTAACCAACTCATTAAATAATAATCACTCCATAATTCTCATAAACACATTGCTGAAATAGAAACAAATATTGTCTCATCATTGAAGTAGGAAAAACGACAAACTTTATATCTCACCATATTTTACAACTCTTGAATTTGTAGATTTTGATATTCAAATCTATCAGCCTCATATATTATTCTCTTTGTTTTTTAAGGAAAAATCCTTAAGGCGCTTTAGGAGCGGTGCCTGTGCGAAATTAGCGACTAACGTTGAATTTGAATTGAATTGAATTTCCATTTGGAAAAACGTGCTCAGGAAGTTTATTCCACATAAACGCAGTTCTCCAAATGAAAGAGTTCTTGAACAGGGAAGTTCTAGTTGTACTAAGTTGAACCTCAAATCGATAAGCAGCCACAGTCCCTCGCGTATTTCTCATACATATCGCTCTTGGAGGAATCAAATGTGCCAAGTCACTTGAACATTTCCCGTGAAAGTATCTATAGNCAGTGAAGATTCCCAAACAGTGTAAATGGTCTTAAAGATCCTCCCACATAGCAGATCTGTGGTGCCAAACTTTGCGCGGCTTAGATTGTTCCCCAATATTTATCGGTAATTCACTCAACGCTAAAATGAGTTTGTGGTCAGAAGATCCCAATGAAGATCTCACGGTGACTGTGTTAATTTCTGGATTGGTTGTTAGGAATAGATCTAGAAGGCTAGCATATTCTCCATCACGGTCAGGAATCCTGGTTGGCTCATTTATAATCTCTATTGGTATTTCTCTATTGTTAGGAATCACACGTTAAAAGGTAAGACCTCGTTAATCCTTAGCTCGCACAAGTTTCGACTTCTGAGGGTTGTCGTTCGTAGGGGTGCGACAGCTGGTTAACGGAAAAACAGATTTTTTTTTAACAGATTTTCACTAGTACAAGTATTTTTCAGTAGTTTCTTCTGCATTTATGCATGTTTAGTCTTTCATCCACATGGCGTGTACACTTTTCTGCCAATTCGGAGGTTGTAAGAACCTTCACACTGTATCTAGTCCTCGACAAGAAGAATTATATCTACACTAACTGAAAGATTTTCCTAAAATCCGAAAACATTACATTGCTGTGAGAAAGGCTGAATATAAGATCAGAAGACTATTATTAGTGATTTTTCTTTATTCAATTCAAGACATTCTAGCAGGTATTGTTTGAAAGAAGATAATAATCCCTTGATTGCCTCTATTTATCACCGATAATGTTTCAGTTCCTCATGTTTCTTTTTCATAAACCATATCCGTAAATATTTGGAAAGCTTCAACATCTTGAGCGATTATCGATTACACGCTTCTAAGGCTTTTGATCGTATGTGGCATGAAGGTTTGCTGGCCAAATTTCGATGCTATGTCTCTCCAGTTTCCTGAAAGAACGTTCCCTGCAAATGGCTGTCGATGCATATCTCTCGAATACTTTTACCGTCAACGCTGGTGTTTCCCAGGGATCCATATCGTCTCCAACTCCCGTTTTATTGTATATTAACGACTTATTGAAAAAAACAAAAATCCAATATATTGCTTTGCTGACGACAGCACACTTGTCTCGTCGTTCCAGTTGGATTCCAGGACATCGACTGCAGATGCATATCTTCACCGGCAGCAGGAGGTTGCATATCTTAATGAGGATCTAAAGGTGATTTCGAATTGAGGTGAAACAAACCAGGTACAATTCATGCCACGAAATCCCAGGCATCGGTTTTCTCTGAAAAGATAAATGTCTCCATATTGGATATAATTATGTCAGGACAGACAATTCGGCTTTCTGCTTCGATAAGTTTGTTGGGGGTTAAAATGGACACCAATATGTCTTGGCACAATCATGTCGCTGGAATTGCAAAGGCTGCTTCGCAAAAGCTTGAAACACCATTCCTAACCACGAAACTATGAAGAGATCCACTCCCAAACATACCCTGAAGCTGCTGGATTCCATCCAGAAATGAGCCATCCGCCTGATTAGAGACTCGAACCTCACTTGCAACCTTGATAGTCTGAAACATCGAAGAAAGGTTGGAAATTTGTCACTTTATATATATACTTTCACGGTACCGCCTTGAGGATTTTCCTGTAGTGCCTGTGTTTTGTTCTTAAAAAAATCGTTCTCCAATTGACAATAATTCCAATCAACATGGGACAGTTCATCATAATCATTCCTCGTCTCGTATTGAGCGAAATTTGGCGACAGTTCAATTAGATGTTGGTTTTCTTAAAATTCGAATATTCCATTGTTCCTTAATATAATATAAGGAATAATTATGGAGCGTAGGCAGACAAATTTATTGTTATATTTTTGTTTAAAGTTATTTTATTTGTTGTAAACTATTTTTTGTACTTAAGCACCAGGCCACCACCCCGAGAAATATCTTTCTTCATCCTCGAATTGAATAATTTCATTTAGGTAACTATTTATTGGGATGTGATATTTTCATTGGACAGTTTACAAAACCACACCACGTATATCTCTATATATTTAATAGCTTTCTCTAGCGTTTTGATACTACAGTCTAAAGTTTTATGTTATTGAATGAACATTATTTCAGTGTTCAATATTTTCCAGGCCATGAAAATTTTTCCGAGTCAACGGAAGAGAAAAAACCTCTAACAGAAGAAGAGAAGAAAGAACAGTTGGCTAAAATCGAGGCAAAGTTAAAACAGCGAAGATTGGAACGTGAAGCCAGAGAAAAAGAGGAGGCTCTGATAAAAGAAAAAAACCGAATCAAGTCGGGAAAAGAACTTTTGGAAGCGAAAAAGAAGCATGAGGAATTAGAGATGAAAAAAATTCTTGAGCAAAGGAAAAGAGAAAAAGAAGAAGAAAGGATAGCCAAGCAGAGGGTTAGAGAACAAATTGAACAAGTAAGCGGAACACATAATTTTTTCTACAATATGAAAAAAATGCTCATAGTCATGAATTTTAAAAATGAAGATCAAAGTAGTTGCCCAGTTGCTTATAAAATCGATGACATTAAATCGAATATTTGGTTTCGATTTCAGTATATGCTTAGACTTACTTTTCCTATGTGAAATTTAGAACTTAAATACAGTTGGAATGATGAAAGAATGTACATGTGTCATCAATTTGTGCACCTGATATAATTCCACAAACTGGAACAATATAATGAAAACGAAACTATGTGACCACTATTCTGAAAAACCTCACATTTTGATAAAGAATTGCTTTTATTTTTGAATTTCACTTATAGTGAAAGCCGCCCCATATTACGGTTTTGGGTCAATTTCATAAAATTCGTCAGCACTTCATTAATTATTCTATAAAAACATATTTCATATTTCACTTTCCTACTGTGATATCTTGCATTTCAAATGTTTCAGTATGTCGAACATTAGACAGAGTCATTCGTAATTTGAGATTAAGATTTATAATTACGGGGTCGTTCAACTATTATGTAACGGAGGGTCTTATAAAGTGTTACGATGCGTTACAGGGGCTGGAGGGGAGAGGGTATGTTATCATGAGAGTTTTTTTTGTAAACAAGTTCAATATTTTACATTTATACATTTTTACTTTTTGAATCTATTATATGTGACGTATGTATAT